CGTTCTTTATTTCAGCCAGCAGAGCTTATGGTATAGAAGAATTCGAAATGGCTGCACTCCCTGACTGGCTCGGTCTTTCCCATTTTATCTCCAGTCAAAAAGTTCCAACCCACAGGTAACTTTCTCATTGGTCAGCCCCCACAGAACTACAGGATTTCACAGAAGTGGAAATTTCCAGGTTCTGGGAAGTTAAGTCTACAAATTCCCAAGAGCTGAGTCACCATGGAGAGGACCCCGCAGGTGTATTCTTGTGGGCTCCTTGAGAAGACCTGTTCTGGACTGCACCCTTCCTGGGTATTCTCTCTCACTTTGAGTTAATAATTTTTCTTGGCTAGGTGTGGTGGCTCACACTTGCAATCCTAGCACTCTGGAAGGCTGGTTTGGGTGGATTGCCTGAGCTCAGGAGTTGGAGACCAGCTTGAGCAAGAGCAAGTTTCCATCTCTATGAAAATAGAAAAACTAGCTAGGCATTGTGGTGAGCACCTGGAGTCCCTGGAGGCTGAGGCTAAGAGCAGCTGTTCTCAACCTATGGGTCACGACCCCTTTGTAACAATGAAAATACATGCTGTAGCTCAAGTGGCTAAGATGCAAGCCACGTACACCAGAGCTGGGGGGTTTGAATCTGGCCTGGGCCTGCTAAACAATGACAACTACAACCAAAAAACAACCCAGTGTGTGGTGGGTGTCTGTAGTCCCAGCTACTTGGGAGGCTGAGGCAAGAGACTCACCTGAGCCCAGGAGTTGGAGGTTGCTGTGAGCTGTGATGCTACAGCACTCTACCCAGGGTGACAGCTTGAGGTTCTGTCTCAAAAAAAGAAAGAAAGAAAATACATCTTGTGGCTCGGCACCTGTGGCTCAAGTGGCTAAGGCACCAGCCACGTACAACCAAGGTGGCGGGTTCGAATCCAGCCCGGGCCCGCCAAACAACACTGACAGCTGCAACCAAAAAATAGCTGGGCATTGTGGTGGGCGCCTGTGGTCCCAGCTACTTGGGAGGCAGAGGCGGAAGACTCGCTTGAGCCCAGGAGTTGGAGGTTGCTGTGAGCTGAGATGCCATGGCACTCTACCCAGGGGGACAGCTTGAGGTTCCTGTCTCAAAAAAAAGCAAATACATCTTGCATATCAGATATTTACATTATGATTCATAACAGTAGCAAAATTATAGTTATGAAGTAGCAACGCAAATTTTTTTTTTTTTTTTGCAGTTTTTGGCCAGGGTCGGGCTTGAACCCACCCCAGTACATGGGGCCAGCGCCCTACTCCTTGAGCCATAGGCACTGCCCAGCAATGAAAATAATTTTATGATTGGGAGTCACCACAACATGAGGAACTGTATTAAAGGGTTGCAGCATTAGAAGGCATTAGGAAGGTTGAGAACCACTGGACTAGATAGATGATCCATTGAGCCCAGGAGTTGGAGGTTGCTGTGAGCTATGATGCCACAGCACTCTACCCAGGGGGATAGCTTGAGGCTCTGTCTCAAAAAAAAAAAAATTTTCTGGCCTGAGAGGTGAAACAATGATCTCCCTTAAAATTTCCTTCTGGGCTCGGTGCCTGTGGCTCAAGT